TGCATACGACCCATAGGATGGAAGCCTTGCGGGCCGTCATATCTGCGGCCAACCCCATACCATTCAATCAAGGACCAATGGGTTCTTCGGTGACCCAACCCTCTCGTCGTGGGCTTCCTAGTAATCCACGATTGTTTGAAGCACGACCTGACGTATGCCGGAGCGGGCAGTAGCCACAAGCAGGAGCCTTTGAACTGGCGGTGAAGACACCGTTATCCGAGACTTACACGACGCTTCATCAAACACTCGAACCCCCTAACCAGCTCTTAACTCTGACAGGACATACTTCTTTCGCCTTTGTTGCAAGGATTTAAGGGGCCTAGAGATGCTGCGGCCAAAGGCCCTGGGAAAGCCCAACCTGATTTCGAAGTACCCGCCCGCGACCCTTCGAGTTGGTATCGCTACACGTCGACATGACTGCATGAAATGCCACCAATGCAGTCGTCAGGCTTGCAGTACGGATGCGTTCATCGACATGCGTTGTCAGTGCTCTCGAAGGGGCAAACAGGCAGTATCAGCCTGAAAGTCACAATGCGGCGCGCCATCGTACAGCACAGTGCAAAGCCACTTCTCCGTCAATCCATCGAAAGCCGACTTGGGCTCCCTCACTCGTCACACGACAGGTCCCAGATCATGGACTGCAGCCCTATCTGTCACGACCAAGTCTCAAACGGACTGGTCTTTCCCGAGATGGTTCAGCTACGGCATTTTCGCTCAGGTCGGTTCAACTTGCCTCACCACTTGCCCAAGCCCATCCCAAGACATCATGACGCCGTTGGGCACTCGGTGAACTGGCACGTGGACGCAACAAGAAGCCAGTGCAACCCCCCGTTTGCCAACTGTCAAGTCCAGGGCCTGGGCAAACGGCTTCCGAAGTAGCTCTGTTCCTGTGCTTTCAAGTGAAAACACACTCAAACCGAACCCACGGACTCGATTTGGATTTCCCCCTGGAACTGTTCCTCGTTCCCAGCCGGAACGGGACGTTGCAGCTCCCGGTCCTGGGAGCTGATTGCTAGATCTCAGAGACCTCGCCGTCTCATTGGGCCTCCTCGTGTTGTCCCTGGCATCCGGGCTTGTGTGCCGATGAAGGCTTCCTACAGTTTTAAACGATTGTTTGCTAGTGGCAGCGAAGTGACGCCGACGTTATCAGTTTGATGCCCAACAAACATGAGCGGGCATTCCTTCGGTCTCGAAGTGTCTGACACGATACTACAAATGTGGCGGTCTGACCCGGCGTTGCGTCTTGATTGCTACATTGCAGCGAATGCTCTTTCCGACCAACATATTTACCATCGTTGTTTGCCTCGCGCCAGTCACTCATTTCAGCCTTTGATCGTTACTACTTTACAAGCTCAGAGACTGCCAATTTCTTTGATTTGGTCACGCAAATCATATTTCCATTCGATACACGACAATTCGCAAAAGGAGTCAAAAATATCCAACGCCAGTATCAGGATTTACATCTTTCTCTTATCTGTACGCTCGAAAGATCTGGAGTCTCAGCCAACCTTCAGATTCGATTCTCGATAGCATCCAACAACCACCGAAATGTGCCAATACTACGCTCACGCCTTCACCTGCAAGCATAGCAGCTTCACATTCGCGCGCTTCTGTCGACCCGCGAGCTTGATACAGAAACCCTGTAGCAAGCGCCAGGTCTGGCAGACGATTCGTCTCGACGATGCCTGCGAAGAATGTCTGACCTGGTTCCCAGACCGGTACCCTTGCCGCCGGCCCCGGTATCAGTGAAGACAACCTGACTCGGCGTGGCCTTTCGAAGCCAGTAAATGTGCTTGATATTCAACCTGCTGGAAAAGTTCGGCCTTCATATTACACATTCTTTCTCAAGCAACGGCCCGTGTCTGAAGGAGTCCTCGACTTCCCCAAACACGGCAGTCGTATTACTAGAGCCTCTGTGGACGGACATTTAGATAGAACGGCTGGCTGGTTCAGCTGATGATTACGATTTCGATGATGATGGAAGCGCTGTTTTTTTGGGATCAAGTCTGTTATGTATTACCTTCGAGACCGGCGTATGTGGAACTGTGGATACACAAAACTTGGGATTTGAAGGACTACGGGACCGAGACTGGCATTCAACAGGACAGATCTTGGGAGCACTTTGAAGTTTGTGTCAAATAGAATTGATTGTTCAGACTGTTTGGTCGAGCGAGACTTTGGTATTCAGATTACGGTACGATAGAGTCTGCCTAACCGTTGCCGTGCGTCTTATATGGGTCTTGAATCCTGCCTTTGACAATCCACATGCCATGTCCGAATTATTCGACTCCTTGGTTTTGTGTTCTTTTCTGGCAATAGAAATGACTAGACTGCCTTTAGCGATTGGGTTGACATATTAACATGGCTGCCGTGCGCGAAGACTTTTTCATGAACAGCTCATCCAGTGCGGTATATGTTAAGAGCTTAAAGATCAGTTGATGCGCTTTTGAGGCAAGAATGCTCTCGCCCGAGACGGTCAAGCAACCTCTCTGACTTCATGATGTGAAGTTGACCACTTCTCAGCCAGTGAAATTTCGCGCATTAACACCGTCGAGGGGGTGGACCCAGCTGGCAGCACTGACGCCGGCCCGCCAATGGCGTAAGAGCTCCCGCATAGCTCCCCCCTCTACTTAGACCCGAAGGAAAGTCCCGGTAGCAAAAAAATTTCGAGTCGAGGAGACCGCCATCAGACGATATCTCAACCTCCCTCCCCGTCCAGCCGCGCCGTTGTCGACAACGAGCATCCAATTGTCCATCTCCCCACTCTTCGTTCTTCTGTTGTTCTTCTTTACTATTTAATACACACGACAGGCATTCAATATGTCTACCGCCTTCAGATCCGTCGCGCCTTTCCTGCGCACGGCGCGCGCCTCGCTGCGCCAGGGCAACGTCAGCCCTCTCCAGGCCGCCCTGAAGAGCAAGAACGTCTCTCCCGTCCTCAACGTCTGCCGCAACTACGCCGTCTTCGAGCGTTCAAAGCCCCACGTCAACATTGGTAAGATCAGTCGATGCGGGCTGCATCTGGGTTGTTTGGCTAACTGAATCGTCTTCTAGGTACTATTGGCCACGTCGATCACGGAAAGGTACACCTCGAGACATGAACCAGCGCAACGGCGCACCCTGACTGACCATGTCCAGACTACTCTGTCCGCTGCCATCACCAAGAGGCAGGCCGAGAAGGGCCTTGCCAACTTCCTCGAGTATGGTGCCATCGACAAGGCTCCTGAGGAGCGCAAGCGTGGTATCACCATTTCCACCGCCCACATCGAGTACGCCACCGACACCAGACATTACTCCCACGTCGACTGCCCGGGTCACGCCGATTACATCAAGAACATGATCACTGGTGCGGCCAACATGGACGGTGCCATTATCGTCGTCGCCGCCTCTGACGGTCAGATGCCCCAGACCCGTGAGCACTTGCTGCTCGCCCGTCAGGTCGGTGTCCAGCGTATCGTCGTCTTCGTCAACAAGGTCGATGCCATTGACGACCCCGAGATGTTGGAGCTTGTCGAGATGGAGATGCGTGAGCTTCTCAGCACCTACGGTTTCGAGGGTGACGACACCCCCGTCATCATGGGCTCTGCCCTGTGCGCCCTGAACAACCAGAAGGACGACATTGGTGTCAACAAGATCGATGAACTCATGAAGGCTGTCGATGAGTGGATCCCCACTCCCCAGCGTGACCTTGAGAAGCCCTTCCTCATGTCTGTTGAGGATGTCTTCTCCATCTCTGGCCGTGGTACCGTTGTCAGTGGACGTGTCGAGCGTGGTATCCTGAAGAGGGACACCGAGGTTGAGATTGTCGGCAAGGGTGATGAGGTCATCAAGTCCAAGGTCACCGATATTGAGACCTTCAAGAAGTCCTGCGAGGAGTCCCGTGCCGGTGACAACTCCGGTCTCCTCCTCCGTGGCATCAAGCGTGAGGACATCCGCCGCGGTATGGTCGTCGCCAAGCCCGGCACCGTCAAGGCCCACAAGTCCTTCCTCGCCTCCCTTTACGTCCTCTCCAAGGAGGAGGGTGGCCGTCACACCGGTTTCCACCAGAACTACAAGCCCCAGATGTACCTCCGCACCGCCGATGAGGCCTGCACCCTCACCTTCCCCGAGGGCACCGAGGATGTCGACAGCAAGATGGTCATGCCTGGTGACAACGTCGAGATGGTCGCTACCCTGCACAACCCCTCCGCCATTGAGGTCGGCCAGCGCTTCAACGTCCGCGAGGGTGGCCGCACCGTTGCCACCGGTCTCATCACCCGTGTCATTGAGTAAATGATCTGATTCAAAACCAAAAAAAACCTCGATACCCTGAGTCGGCACTCAGCACACACTCTCTTCCCAGCATACGATATATGATTTGGGACGACCCGAAAAACTGGATGGGAAAATTGGGATTGTACAAAAGGTGTTTGCGTCACGAATTATGTACAATTGACCCCAAGCTTTTTCCGCTTTGAGCCCTCGCGCTCGTGTATATTTGTCGGGTCCTGGGCTCAAAGATCTCCACTCTACTTCAACCCCTGTCTTGAATCATGTACTTTTAGAGACGATGGTCAATAGAATAACGTGCTTTGTGCCACATGATCACACTTTGGTTTCTTCAAACGTAGTTTCATTCAGCGTGACAGACATTGGCGAGACTCGAGTCGTCATTACATCCCCAGACTTGATAATGACCCTGGCAGACGAGAACCAGGCGGCGCGCCCTCTGCGGACCGCGTCGCGCTCTACAGCACGTTGAATTGGTGGCCCCGGCATAGTGATGGTGGTAAGGTTCAATGTCGTGGTATTCGTCTATCCTCAATGGATGTCCGACGGAGTGCACTTTATTCTTCCGTTAAGCCAGCCATAAGAACTCCATGCCCTTGGAAGCCTCCCTCTGTCTGAATGCATTTTCCACGGGCCATCATGCCCAACCACCTTCGAGTCCCATCATCGTCTCGTAATCCTGACGTTTAACGGTACTGTGGTGCACACTCATGTCAGCCATTGCGCGCTCTTCATTCGCAGAGGGAATGTCGTGTAGATCCCGCCAAGGGTTTCTCGTCGCATACCTTGTTGAAGCCGATGTCCTTGGCCTTCTCACGGAAGCACTGACGGCAGAGGTTGAGGTCGTACTTGCGGATAAGACCGGCCGTGTGCTTGCAGACACGGCTGTGATAAAAAATGTCAGCACTTCGGTCCCTTATGTGCCTGTGTTTTCTTCCCCCTTCCATCATCATCCTCCAGGTGTCCCTGTCCAAAACTTTGCCTCCATCCAGGGGATTGGGGTTCTTCGTACCAGCTGCGAGAGCCCTTGCCGTAGTTGCGGGGGCGGGAGTTCCAGACAGATTCGTGAGACATTTTGTCGGCGTGAGGGGGGCTTGTCGTCGAAGGTGTCGGCGAAAACTCGAGATGGGTTGACTGGGTGGTGGTTTGACGCTTTTCGCAACGGAGCGGAAATTTTGTGTGGGATGCGATTTTTTGGGAAGGGGCGCCATTGGAGGGTCTGGCAGCCCCAGAACTGGCAAGCGAGAGGGAGGTCCGTGCCACGAGCGGTCTTCTCACGTGAGAGAGCGATAAGATAAGGCGGGGTTGCTTCTCGATAAGACGCTGATAAGAGACCTGTTTCTTTTTTTTTTCGCCGTTTTTGCTCTGGCGGCCAAGGTGGGGCCGGGGAAGCGGTACACGCCACCTAGGTACCCTGCCTCACCAGCCAGACAGGGGGCTTAGCTGTTGCTTCTGTGACGTTGGAGGTTGTCCTGCAAAGTGGCTTCTTTATTAACACCTTCAGCAGACCAGCTGATTTCAAATCGTCTTTTGCAACACCACCATCCTTGCTGCTGCATTCTATTTGAGCAGCTACCTATCGCATTCTGTTGGGTAGGAACTACTTTGAATCGTTTTTATTTCCCATTCAGCTGCGTCACCCAACCCACAATGGTTGCTTTCAAGAGCTTCGTGGTCGGCGCTCTGGCAGCTACCGTTGCCGCCAAGTCTGCCGTCCTCGACCTCATCCCCTCCAACTTTGACGATGTCGTCCTGAAGTCTGGCAAGCCCACTCTGGTAGAGTTCTTCGCCCCCTGGTGTGGCCACTGCAAGAACCTCGCCCCTGTCTACGAGGAGCTTGCTTCTAGTTTCGAGTCCAACAAGGACGTCCAGATTGCCAAGGTCGATGCCGACGCCGAGCGTGACCTGGGCAAGAGGTTCGGGATTCAGGGATTCCCTACTCTCAAGTGGTTTGATGGCAAGAGCGACAAGCCCACCGACTACAGCGGTGGCCGCGACCTGGAGAGCTTGAGCAACTTCATCACCGAGAAGACCAATGCCAAGCCCAAGAAGAAGTACACACCGCCTAGCGCTGTGAACATGCTCACCGACGAGTCCTTCAAGACCATTGTTGGTGGCGACAAGGACGTCTTTGTCGCCTTCACTGCCCCCTGGTGCGGACGTAGGTGTTCTCCTCCCTCTTTGTTGCTGGACTTTTGCTGACCCAACCCCTCAACAGACTGCAAGAACCTCGCCCCTACCTGGGAGACTCTCGCTCAGGACTTCTCTCTCGATGAGGGTGTCGTGATCGCCAAGGTCGATGCCGAGAACGAGGCTAGCAAGGGAACTGCCGCTGCCGAGGGCGTCTCCTCCTACCCCACCATCAAGTTCTTCCCCAAGGGCTCCAAGAAGGGCGAGCTCTACAGCGGCGGCCGCAAGGAGGAGGACTTCGTCGCCTTCATCAACGAGAAGACCGGCACTGCTCGTGTTGCTGGTGGTGGCCTGAACGCCGTTGCCGGCACCATTGCTGCCCTTGACGAGATCGTCGCCAAGTACATCAGCGGCACCACCATTGCTGACGCTGCCGCCGAGGCCAAGAAGGAGGCCGAGACCCTCAAGGAGAAGGCCCAGTACAAGTACGCCGAGTACTACGTCCGCGTCTTCGACAAGCTCTCCAAGAACGACGGCTACGTCAAGAAGGAGGTCGCCCGTCTCGACGGCATCCTCAAGAAGGGCGGCCTCGCCCCCGCCAAGCGCGACGAGATCACCAGCAAGACCAACATCCTCCGCAAGTTCCTCGAGCAGGCCAAGGAGAAGGTCTCCGACGCGAAGGAGGAGTTGTAGAGAACTTTTTCTACGACGTCACGTTACACATGCATCAAGAGCTCACGGTATTGGGGGAGCGGGGGTTTGAGAGGTGAGCAACTGAACGGATCAGCTCACGTTGAGGACTTTGGTAGCCTAGGATACCGACCAAGAAATAAAATAACAAGAACAACTCATGTCTGCGTGTGAGACTGGCCGTGATATAAGCTCTATTCGTGCTTTCATGTAAACCCTAAACGCCATAGACACAAACGTGCTCCTAAAACTGAATGCTGAAGAGGTCAAGACGACTTTGATGAGCCCTCCTTCTCCTTATTAGCGAGAAGCGCTGCCTCCAAGTTGTCCAGTCGACGAGACATTTCATCCACTGAGACAGTCGTTAGTGATGCTGTCTTGGGCAAGGGGTGGCAGTTGTGCTCACTCTTCGCGAAGATCTCGCTAGACACCCCGGCAAACTTGTTGGAGATGGTGTTCAAAAGTTCCTCGACGGCAGCGTTGACATCGCCCTTGGCGTCTTCCGAGGCCTGGCGACAGTTAGTACCGGCTGTGAATGAGGCCTCGTCCCATGGACGACATCCTAAGACGCTGCGCGAGGCGCCGCGAGACTCTGTGGGGTTCATCGCCATGTCTCACTTACGGCAGACTGGTTGCTCGTGTCGGGGTTGTTGGGGGCCATATTGACAGTGTTGTTCAATTGCGAGTAACGAATTGTTCCAAGGCTGTTTAGAAGTTGGTGGTTGGAATGAGGCTCACGTATGGTTGCCCTGCCTCTCTCAATGTTGGCGCGTTGCGGTGAAAGTGGTGGCGGGGTACTGATGGTGCCGTTGTTAGTTCCCAGGACAGAGGGGTGCCGTGCCACCGGATTAGCACTGTAGCGGCCCCGACTTAGGCAGGTCCGGACACCTGCATCAGGGAGCTCCAGCCTGACCAACCGTGTGGCTGTAGTGGGGCCCGCCCTCTAAGGCCAACGGAAGCATCCCGTCCTCCGACCCAATGCCGTCATTCCACCTGCATAGCAACACCTACAGCCCACCAACTCAATCTCCCGATCCCATATTCGAGACGAACACCACACGACCACATCCTTCCATTTCGCAAACCTGCTCCGCCACAGCACCTACGGGAGGATCAGCTCAGCAAAGCCAAAGGATGGCAACGAGATAAATCCGGGGGCAACGGTCGTCCGGCATCATGCCCTATCCACACGAAGACCCGCGCATCGTCGTCATCGGCCTCGCCCTCATCGGTATCCTATGGATCTTCCTGGCGCCCGGGAACGGCGGCGCGTCTCTCTTCTCGGCCTCCGACCTCGCGACGCAGCGACTGCGCCGGCACCAGCACGCGCTCGAGCTGCTCAACGCCTCGTCGTGGGGCAACTTCTCGGCGCGGCGGAACGGGACGGGCGAGGAGGAGCTGCCGCGCTCGCTTAACATCACGGGCTTCCGGGCCGAGGACGGCTTCGCGTGGGACGATCTGGAGAGGTTCCAGGAGAGGTGCCTCGAGTGGAGCCGGAACGCGATACCGCCTGTCGGAGGGGTGAACCTCTGGGACATTGGCCAGGGCGAGGCGGTTTGGCAGAATGCCACGGGGGCCGTGAAGGGGACGTGGGTGCGGAAGGATGCGTCGGTAAAGAGGGAGTGGGCGAGCTACAATTTGAGTGCGGTCACGCCGAGCTTGCACTGGAGCGGGGCGGAGGCCGATTGGGCAAGGAACATTACGGGTGACGAGGGCAAGATGCTGCTGGACGTGATCGATACCGGCCGGCACACGAAGGAGTTTGAATACGAGAGCATCCTGCACGAAGGTGTCCCGACATCCGGCGGCAGAGTCAGAAGTGCTAAGGCATCGCTGACCGTCGAGGATGTCAAGGGAACCGGGTTCAATTGGGAAATGAGGTTGCATGGAGTTCAGTGGCCGCGTCAAGGGACGCTGCTCTTGACCACGACGAGCGAAAAGTTTGACGGCATATTCGGGTTGCCTCATCTTTCTCCGAGCTCAGACTTTTTTCATTCGAGTCGATTGCTTCTGAATGCGACTCTGTCCGAGGTACTGCGGAGGAAGGAGAAGGAGGTCTTCAACGACGGCGTTATGCCTTGGACTTCAGACCCGTCGAACCCGCCTGATACTCTCAATCCATCACCACACTGCGAGTACATCATGTACGCGCAGGTTCATCCCCCGGACAGAAGTCGGTTGAACATGAAGGGTTTCCAGTCGGGGAGGGAAGGTATGTCACAGATCATCAGCGACATCGAGCAAGAGCTTCGCTTCCCGAACGGCGCCCCCATTCGTGGGGTTCCGGAGCTCAAGCTGTCTGCCATCATCTGGTCTCCCGACTGCGGGTTTTTTCTAGAAACCAAAGGGCCCCCAGACTTCCCACCGGCAGACGGCCAGCATCTACAGGGCATGAAGACGGAAATCATCTACTACAAGATCCGTGTCTGGATCCTGGCGTTCGCAGGGGTCATCATCGCCCAGGCCCTCCTCTTGAAGCACCAGATGAGGGAATCTGCCACGCCGTCCACCATGGGCCGCATCAGCTATAACACAATCAGTATGATGGTCATGGTCGATGGCAGCATCTTCGCTGCCGCCTCCATGTGGGCTCTAGACGCGAGCATTACGTATCTCGAGTCTTTGTCCCTGCTCTTCGCCGCATTTCTCTCCATGTCGATGGGTGGCTTCTTCCTCGCGGAGATCCACAAAGTTCAGGAGCCGGAGAACAGAAGACGCAGTGAGCGCGAACAGGCCGAGACACCACGTACGCCAGCAACTCCAGCACAGAACCTCGAGGCAGACTCCCTCCCGCGACCGGTCACGGCCGGACCACGCAGAAGAGCCCCCACGCCGCCTATCATCGTCCCCTCAGACCAGGATATTGATGCCGACATCGATGCCGTAACAAACGGCGCTGCGGCTGTCCCGAACGCTGGCGCGGCCACCCGCGCCGGTCCCGAGGTCACCTTCCAAGCCGTCATATTCCGCTTTGCTATGATAGTGTCTCTCCTCCTCCTGGTCTCCATAGCATCGACGTCCTGGTACCCCCGTATCCGCAATGGGTTCGTAAACACTCTTTCGATGGTATACTTTTCCTTCTGGGTTCCGCAGATTCACCGCAATGTAATCCGCAACTGCCGTCGAGCCTTGACGTGGCGCTTCATGATCGGCCAGTCGATCCTGCGTCTCCTCCCATTTGCGTATTTCTACATTTACGAGGACAACTTCCTCTTCGCGGAGACAGACGTCCGCGCGTTCCTCGTCTTCTGCGCGTGGCTGTGGATACAGCTTTGGATCTTGGCATTTCAGTTCGTTCTCGGCCCGCGCTTCGGCGTGCCCAAGAGCTGGACCCCCGACGCGTGGGACTACCACCCCGTCCTCCGCGAAGATGGCGTTGAGGCCGGCGGGCTTCCCATCGGCTTGCTCTCTGAGCCCGGCTCCCCGTCTCTCGACAGGGTGCGGACGGGCGAGGACAAGAAGGGGAGCAACCTGCGTGCCATCGACTGCGCCATCTGTCGCGAAGTGCTTGAAGTGCCCGTTATGAGGGCGGGCGAGGAGGATCCCACCGCCGGCGGGGTTGTTGGCGTGTTTACGAGGAGGAATTACATGGTTACCCCGTGTCGACATATTTTCCACAGCGCTTGTTTAGAGGGATGGATGAGGTTCCGGCTGCAGTGTCCTATATGCAGGGAGGAGCTGCCGCCGTTGTGAGTGTTGATACCAAGATAGACATGTATTTTCAAGCGAATGACTTTACGCTGCGTTGTGAGTGTTAATGGGCAGCCTTGGTGAGCGACTTCTCGAAAGCACGGCAATACCCATCTATGGCCCGGCTTCGGGCTCTTGCTTGCGATGGTGCTTTGCCTGTTATCTCAGCGTATCTGTTACAGGCAGCCAGGACCGCGGTTGTCTACTGTGGCCAGCCTTTCGTCGGTGGGACATGAAGGTGCGCAAAGGTTGAAAGAAAGACCGCTTGCCCTGACGTTCCTGCCGATGAACTGAGAGTACCTGCAGAGGTACCGTCGTTAGATCTATAAGTAGGTTGGGTAGCTTACCCATCAGTTGGAGGTGCAACTTTGGATCCATCATCCAACTTCATGTACTTCATGGAGTCACGTCTGCTTTGCTGCCGGACACCTACCTTGTGCTCCTAGTGGAGCTGCTGTGATTTCGCAACCTTGTACGCTCGCTTCCTCAAAGGTGCGTAGGTAGAAATCTTTTCAGATAAATAGGTACGTTTGAGCATCAGAAATCTTGCCTTTCAATTATTCGTCATCCCCAACGCCACCATGAAGCAGGGCGAGTCCCTTCCTCTCCACCATAGTAAGCCCACGTCTGCGACTGAAAATTCAAAACGGATTCTGAACTGACACCAAAGACAGGAATCTTGCTGCAAAGGCACCGTCGTCTGCGGAACATTATCACAATGTACCACGAACCCCCAAACAGCGAAGAACCATATGTCTCCTCCTTGACGAACCTAACCGATGTGGTCACCAAAATCCATCGGCGCAGCAACCAGCAAAACAACTTCCACCGCTTCCAACATCTCCCCGTCGAGCTCCAGATTGAGGTCTGGAAATGGACGCTGGTAGAGCCACAGGTCTATTACTTCTCAAGGGCGCATCGTCAAAGGGATCGGATATTGGGTCCACAGCCACGCCCTGCGCTACTTGTCTGCGCATTGTCAAGACAGATTGCGAAAGAAACCCTCTGTCGGATGCCGCAAACTATGCGCACAAGGGACACGCGTAAAGACCAGGGCTGGATCTACGTAAGCCCTGCTACCGACTTGTTTTACAATGACTTATTCAACAGGCAGAGCCCAAACTGCCCAGAGTCCTGGAAGAAAATGGCCAGCGGCACGGCTGTGATGAAAAAAACATACGAGCATACAGTCGCCTGGTATCCGATTAGGATGACCAAGCTGGAAAAGAATTGGTTCGTGAAGGAGTACTAATGATGTACCGTCAGATGCATGTATCGATGAGGTGCTTGGACAGGTTCGATTGTTCTGAGACTGGGAAATTCGCAGCAAATACGCTCCAACAATTAGGACAAGTCGCCAATATATTATATGATGTTCCCCAAAACCTATCCTGTCAAATCCAGGGCTTGATCGACTCAACCGAGAATTGCAACCACAAACTTAGACTATTGACGAGCTTGAGATATCTAGATACATTCCGTCCAAACTTGCTGGTTCAAGGAGACTTGAACATGTTGCTTAAAGCAAGCTTTGCTCAGAGTTGAACCGCCGTTGCCGTGTGTCCCTCTTAAGTCATGCATCCATGAGGCCGAAGGTTGGTCCACATGAATGCTCGCTGCTGAAGCTAGCCTCTGCACCGATGCGGCACGGTCGAATACAACCTTCCTGAAAGACCAAGTCTCTCGCGCCGCTGGCACCCACACAAGACGTCAAAGCCATGTAACTTTAGATTTAATCCTTGCTCTAGTGTGCGTTCGGTGATGCGCAAGTACGATCTGGACAACAAATGTTACCCTGAAGACCTGTTGGACAATAAATCACAGCATGGGTATCACACAGGAGGACGAAAGGTGAAGCTATCTGAGGTCGTGGGAAGGGTCATACCGTGGAATTACACGGTGCCGGCCGGACACAAAAAGCCCGTCGTCGTCCTAAGTTCGATGGTCTAAGGCCGAATCCGTGTGGAGACTTCAGGTCTCCATTCAACATCCTGGGCCGGATCTCACACGGGGTGCTCGATACTCGATCGCTCTAGAGAGAGACTTGCGCTGTGATGCCTGATCAAGGCAAAGTAAACCACGTTCATAGAATCAATCACGCATTCCCAAATCTCCGTCATCGCACACATAGCCCCGTAAGGCGAATCGAGGCAGTGTCTGTAGTGCCGATATCATGATCCCCAAAGGCTGAGGTGCGTGATGTACGTACAGAAGATCCACGCGATCACCCGCGTGGAGACCTCTAAGACGGGGGTTATCAGTCACAGGTTTCGGCATACCCAGAGACTCGGTCGCCATGCTACCGTATGAAGTCATTGCTGGTACTGGATCGACGGCAGCTTTTCGACAGGGGGTTTGGGTTGGAGAAAGGGCGAACTTTCTGTGGAACCAGTACCAACGTGGCAGTCAGCACAGCCTTCCATCCAATGGAACCTTTGCATCGACAGTACCAGCGCCTCCTCGCTACTGTTCTGACATGCAGCAATTGTGCATTAGCACGTCTTGCGGGATTGGCCTCCTGTTTCCCCTAATCTCTCTGCGTGGGGAAGTGAGACAAGGCATTTCGCAAGGCAGGGCGCTGAACGTCCCTACGGTCGGAGCTCGCGATGTGATGCCTGGCATAGCGCTCATCTGGCGGTCGTGATTGCTGTGCATCAGACCTTGGAGTAGTCGCAGATGATGTAGGCGGGACGTCAACTCATTAGCCGTAGCTCATACTGGTGGGCAGTAGCGGACATGTCCGATATTGATGCAGCAAATCGGATGCCGTTTGGTGATATCCCGGCATGAACCAAATTCACCATGATACTCCCCCGTGCCTCCGAATCGTTATACGACCCTGATGGCCAGCCAAAGATTCCAACTTGAGAGACATTTACGAGCTTGAACAGCCTACTTCCGGAGCGTTTCGTCCTTACGCGGTGCCTCTGTCTGATAGCGACAGATGGGGAGCGTGTTAGTCGCTGAGGGCGTCTTCTAGATATCGTTCCAGACTTTACAGTCTCAGTTGACACCGGCCCGCGATAGTCTTTAGCGATGAACAAGGGCGGTCTCCAGATTCCCGGGACTGGCAAGGGGCATCCTAAGTTTCGGGTTGGTGGCTGGAATTGACATGCTTTACCGGCGCATCCCTCCCATACCAGCGGAGCGGCCACAGGGTCCGAGACGGGTTGGACGACCGAATGTGATAGAAGAGTGCGCCAATCAATGTCCGCCGTAACTGGAAAAGAGAGTGAGACGCACCTCCGCGTCTCGGACCCTTAATGGGGCCTCTAGGGTCATTCCCAGGCGGGGAGGTAGGGCGCAGCTCGAGATGGTGTCGAGCGCAATATTGCCGTCAAGCATGCCGGGCCCAGTAACGTTCGCTGAAGCGTCGACAGGGCTGAAGAAGATGCAGAGAAGGCGCGCAATGGGTCATGGACCATGTTTGGAAGGCTTCTATGCGTTGATGATGGGGCAAGTGGCTAGGATCGCAAAGCGGAGTGGGTGAAGGAGAGAACGTGACTGTTGACTGATGGCTGAGCATTGGCGCTAAGGCAGGCGATATGTAGGCATATCCAAGGGTTGTTGAAGTGCGGTCATTGGATGTAACAAGGAGGCCGCCCCGGACAGTAACTCTAGGGGGCATGGTGGTCTTTTTGCATGGCGGCAGGCAAAGCAGGGCATCAGTGACGCTCTTTGGGAATTGTAGGGCTGAGATGGAGGGTGCAAGGTCGTCTCGAGAGGCCTGGCCGAATGATGAGTGCATCTGAACCCCAGCGGAAGCGGGCCGGAATGGGTTGCATGTGGCGCAGCTGACAAGGCCAGCAAGAGCGGTGAGCAGGATGCTGCAAGCTTTCGATTGATAGGAAAATTTATTACTTTGACGAATAAGAGATGGGAGTGTTGATATTGGGTCGACCGTATAGAAACTTGGCGGTACTTGGGCTGAGATGAAGTGTCCCTGCGTCGATGCGACGGCCTGGATGGTTAGTTGCATGGACAACGACAGCGATCAGGACACCTTACAGGAGAGAGTAGTAAACCTTCCAATGGCGCCTTAGGTAGGGTCGTGCGAGGATCTCGCATCTGAGACCACAGAGCATCCGGATATGTGTTTCTCTTCGTGATGTTGTAAGTGGCCAAGATGCGGTTCTGTACGCTTGACGCGCCATGTGCAGCTCGTAGAACGGCAGCAAAGAAGCTTCGGATTGCTGGGGCGCCCACGAGCGCAGATGAAATCATTGGAAACAACAAGTTGATGAAACCTCTCGACCGTCTCCGGGATATCTTCCAAAGACTGGTGTTGTAGTGAAATATGACAGAGGTTATTCTGATGTAAGGTCGGCCGATACTGAGGTAGGTGTTCAGCGTCGGCGGGCGTCCAGGGCGGAGCCGACAGTGACATGAGCATTTGCGGCCATCGCAGGCTAGCGGGAGCTACGGCCTAGGCTCTTCCTTGGTTTTCCTGCTAGACAGTACTAGACAGGAACGAATTGCCTAGCACGAGCCTGAGGAAACGGGCCGCTCGCATCCATCTGCCAATGAGCCGCGTTAGCTTTGCTCCAGATCAGGAGAAAAGTCGTTCCTGCTATGGGGGCCACGGGGGAAAGAGGCGCACTCGTGCAGTTGCCATCTTTGCGGACCATCAGCCATGCAAGCCAAGACCGGCCTGTGCCTCTTCTGCAAGTCACTGAGACTGACTCAAGGAGCGGACGCGACCTTGACATTGTTTCCCGCTGACAAAGCCAATTCTTCAAGCGGTATGGCGGCATGGCATGTTGATTCCGAAAGTTGTCATGCGTTTACTTCTTTTGGCCTGTTGGCAATTGCGAGACAACGGCCATGTCATTATGGGGTTTCCAAGCCGGTGGGGTTGCCTGAAGCGTTCACGATGGTCGAGACCAAGACGCTTGTATTGCCCGGTGACGGGACGGCCCTTGGTCCTGCCAATGCTCGTTTCTCGCTCTTCACGAGGAGACAAGACAAAATTGCATCAAAATCAGGCGTCTGAGAGACGCGCC